CACCCTGCGCCCCCTGGGAGCTTCATCTTCATCATCCTCGTCTTCGTCCTCACTGGCGGGTTTTTTCCCTCGGCCTCTTCCTTTTGCACCTCCTCTTCCAGCTCCCTGTCTCCTGTTCGCTCTCCTCTGGGTGCCGTCGTCTACATTATCACCAAATAAAACAGACAAAATATCGCATTTGGTCTTCATGTTATTTGATTGTTAGACAACAATTCTTTTCAAATCAGTTCCATGAGGTGGTGTTTTATCCACTCACCATCACTGCCACTCAAATCACCGTCAACCTCTATCTCAACTGAGGAAGGACACACAAAAAAGCAAAACAATCATATTCTCGAACAGCTCAAGTGACCGCATTCATCAACAATGCCAACAATTACAATTGTGTAATGTCAGTCAGTCCTCCACTGTGGTCCAGAGGGAAATATGTTGCTAAGACATTCATGTTCTCAACAGGTACTTTGATAATACATATCATCTAGTCAAAATTGTAATTAGTCCTTTACTTTGCTTGATGATCAAGTACCTGCAAAACTGACATCAGCCTCAGCTGCACTTTGTGTTTAGTGCTAATTAGCATGCTACGGTGGAGAACATTGTAAACATTAACTGCTAAACATCAGCAAGCTAGCATTCTCATTTTTGAGAATGTTAGCATGCTGATGTTAGCATTTAGCTTAAAGCCCCATTGTGCCTAAATACAGCGTCACAGAGCTGCTAGCGTGGCTGCAGCGTAGATAGACATGTACTGGCCGACATTTATCAAAGAAAAACAATGGTCACCCTTTCTTGTAATTTAGACTTTTGTGTTAAATAATCTATCTCTTAGCGATCTCATTATTCTAAGACATTTCTTAAATGTAAAAAAAAACACCTCTCCAATTTTTCTTTTGGGAAAGTGAAATGCACCTATATTCAAATAAAGAATTAAGAATTTTTTACAATGAAGTTGTAAGGTAATAAAGTTGTACGGTAGTACAATAGTGAGCTCCCATGTTCTGTGAAGGGGCCTGCAGGGTACTGAAACTTGAAACGATTGGATTTTTTTTTCTTTTACTGGAAACACAAATAATGAATGATATATCATTGCACGAGGTGTTACTCATCACATTACATGTTAAAATGGCAGAAACATGCTTCCTTTTCTCAAAAACACTAATTAAAGAAATGCAGATTATTTCAATTGTTCCAATGATTTTGCTATTGACCAAATAGCTGAAAAACTAATGAAATTCCCGTCAGCCTCAGCTGTACTTTGTGTTTTGTGCTAAGTAGCTAATGTTAGCATGCTAACACACTAAACTCTCTGTGGAGTTGTTGAGATCTAGTTGTACTATGAAGCTGCTTTTCTATGATTGGGTCTCCAATTTCTTTACCAAATATGCGAACTAGCACCCTAATCCTTTGAAAGTATCTTTAACATGCATTTGGTATCATTTCCGTAACCCGGCCTAAACGTAGTTCCACAGTGGGTGGAGACCAGTGGAAATATAAGCAGAACCTGTGATGATGTCCCTGCTTGTGAGAAAGGGTCAAAAGTCACATGACCGAAGTCCACACCTCTGGTATTAAAGCGTTTGTTGTATAAAGTATGTTAGTAGTTTAGTAGTGAGTGTTCTTACATTTTACTGCACAAATTCTTCATACAAATTTCTTTTAACAGAGGAAAAAAACATTTCTCTTCCGAAATGAACCAGGTAGCATCACACATTTGAATGACCTACACAACTTACATCATTATGACCTAAAAAGCAAATGATTCCAGTCCTCTGATCCTTAACTCACCAGCATCGTTTGAAACTGTATCTCTTTTTCTCGGCATGATGAAAAATAAAAAATAAAAAGCGTCCGTCCCCTGTGTCCTCTGCAGCGCTGGCCCGGTCTACACCCCAGCAGGTTGGATCTCTTCTCTCTCGGCTCCACGTCAGCAACCAACTCAGGTATCTGACAGCGCCGTCACTATGACGACTGCTGCATGTGACCCGCTCTCAACAGGTGTTCGTGGATAGGTGATAAACTATATAAAATATATCTTTTATCATGACTACATAGACATACATCCTAGGGTCACACCGCGGCTCATATCAGGCCCTTAGCTCTTAAAATCCATTAGTGTGGCTCTACTTAGCTCGGCTTGACTAATGCAACCTGCTTTGTTTTTCCTAAATGGACACAGGACCATCGACAGTGCCTAGAGACACCCTCACTCGTCTTGTTATTGGAGACCACACGTGTGTACACACACACACACACACACACACACACACACACACACAGACACAAGAAGACCAGACGCCCTGAAGATTTAATGAAGGTTTAGGTTTCTCTGTGAGGCTCATTAGGCAAACAGTAAATACTCTGAGATGACTTTGCAGTTACAGTATTTCTGTTTTGACTTGTTTTTTAAAGAAACACAGCAGGTATAGAGTCAGCGAACCCGCTCCAGAGACCGACATCAGCTAGCTGTGTGTGGGCCGAGCTGAAACCATCCGAAGAAACACCTCATATAGACTCATTAAATAATAGAGTGGAGCTCATTTTTCACGGCCAAAATGATTCCATTACATGCTTGTCGGTTCCTCACAGGTGAGACGTGGATCACACCCTTTCAGACTTGTGCTGGTGCACATGTCAGTATGCTGCAGGTGACACATCTGCTGCATTCCTGCCCACCTGTTCAGGGAATATGGGCACAGGTCCATATGTTGAGAAAGTGGTGTAATTAGTTGATCCTATTTAGATCCTCGAGCACTAATGTAGTTCACCACACAGACCAAGCATTTCTTCAACCTAAAGTGGACATTTTGTAAGTTTATATATGTATTTATATATTTTTAAAGCAAATTCATGAGGGCTTACATGCATGCACACATTGGTTTGTGTGTATTAAGCTGCCAGTATGCTCCAGAAATGCTTGTTGAATAGCTTTTGGTACATCTTTACACAGGTATATCTGTCACTTGTTATGTGAACAACTGAGTGCACCGCTATGAATGTCTTCCATGAAATACTGTGCAATGTGTGCCTTAATCCCCGTATTTAAACAATATGGAGGCCTGGGTTTAATTAAACCTGTGTTATATTAACATAAGTTTTCTAGTAAATCCAGTTCTTTGAATATGTCCACAGGCGGAGCCTCTATTATGTAAACCAACAGCGATGAGTAGGTTAATTTTGTAATTAGCCTATTATTTAGTCTATAAAATGCCAAATGCCCGGAGTGCAGTCGTGTCCCTCTCGATACCCGCTGCAGGGAAATTCTGTGTACAAGAACTAAACAGCTGAAAATAACCATTTCATTCAAATCTGGACACGTTTAGAATCTTGACACGCATTTCTAAACACATGCATGTCTAAAAACCTAAACTAAATCAATATTTCATGCATCACCACCATGAAAGATGCATGAGCAATTAAAAGTTAATGGAAGTAGTCTCACAAATGCTGCATTACTGCACATCTGTGACCGAGCAACAAAGCATGACAAAAGTACTGAAAAATAAATACAATTCAATGTAAAAATGCTACTTTAAACATGTTTTATTCCATTTACATAGTCAGAATTGGGAATATTAAACTCTAAATATTACTACAGATCTTGCGATGGGATCACATCAGCCGTGACGGCAAATCGAGGGGCGTGAAGTCAACTTCCTAACTTCCTACTCCCAAACAGTGTTGACTGTATGTGTCATCTCTTTATATTTATAGTGGAGTGGTCTTTATTCATGGAGTAAATCTTTATATTCATTTGTTTTTAAGAGTTTCATAATTTTCACCAAATGAACAATAAGTGTAGTCACGTTTGAGCTTTTGTTTTAAAGCTACAAGTTGCTAAATGGGATAAAATAAGTCTGTAATGCCACCTAGTGGCTATTGGCTGTAAATTGACATAATTATATACTAACCAACAACTGGTTGTTTATATGCAACATAGGTCAGAAAATGTACACATTACAGCCTGTATATTAACACATCAATTATTTGTCACTTACCTATTCTCCAGAGTGAGTACCTTTACTTCAAACACTTTCCTTTATAGATGTTCTTCTAATCCCGTCGAATAATTGTGCATTTATTGTGAACAATATAATTTTACGTGTCCCAGGAACATGATTAGCAACCTGACTGACTAAGCAACAGAAGTGTGTTAATGTCGCTGGTGTGTGTGTGCGCATCAAAACATACAGCCCTCATGGTGAGGCAGGAGAGCAGGTGTCATAGCGTGACCCGAGGCTACGCTCACTGCAACAGATCCTGTTTCCCCTACAGCGACACCAGCCACATAACAGATGAACCGCCCGACATTTAAATACTGCTGTCTGTCGGTTCATCTGCTGATGTTGCACCGAACGTCTGTACCCGTTCAACGTAAACTTGGTTTATGTTTCATTAAAGTGCTGTAACATAGATATGCTTACAAAATGTATTCCTTGTTTTGATATCTTTCTGGACAAATGCTGGTGAAAACTAAAGATCTGTCATCCTTTCCTTACCCGGTTACGGTGGTACACCGGGCTATTTGATGTCAAATTTGTACAGACTACTGCACAGTGCGAGAGGTAAACATTCATAGCATCCTCCAAGATTATTCAGTGTAGATGCACGCACGGGTGCGGTAGGAAAAATATAATTCCTACATGAAGCTGCTCACAACTTTTGTGGATTATTTTTTCTAGTGTCAAGGACAATACCTCCAACACCAAAACAATTTACATTGATAAAAAGCACTACAGGTAAAAATAAAATATGTATTTTTGATCTTGATGTGAACTGTTCCTGTTCGACAGATTGAGTGTAACTGAACATTGAATTGGTCACATTTCCTGACCGCTGATTGTTCCAAAGTTTACACTCAAGAGAAAACCTCTTCCCTTCGACAGCGGCTACTGTAAAACAACTTTATATAGATTAATATGGATAAAAGTTCAGAAATCAAGGACAAGTTATACATTTTTGTTTTGACAACTGTGACAAACTGAAGAGCCATGAACTCTTGATTTTATATTTGTGAACATAATTTATTTACATCATACAATTATTTCTTTATTATTGGAAGATTACGCACACTGCAGTATATAAATAAAGATGTTTGTACAAACTTGCATAACTAAAAGGGTAAAAAACAAAAACACGTTAAGCAGCCAGACCAAAACGAAAAATAAATCAAAAACGGAAAATGATTAATAACCTACGACCACAGGCCTAAGTCACCGCGGCACACAACCACTCAGTCTCATACAACAGACGTCCACATTTACTCCCACAAACACACAGGCGTGTTTGATACGCAGTATGCAACAGTCCAACACCTCCCAACTTCTTGTCAGCTCACATTAAAAATTTAGGAAAACATTCAATAGTGAAGTAAAAGATGAAATATTAGTGGAGCTAAACCCTTTCGAAGGCAAAAATTAATACAAGTTCAGGCTACTTGTCATACAACGACACACGGCATACACCACTTGTCTGGAAATCGGGGGAAACAAACATTTTAACGAGTATCGGTTTGAAAGACCTAAAGAGCAGGACGTCGACGTGCCTGCAAATCAGATCCCGGGGCACAGAGCGGGTCACAGCGTTCAGCCCACGATCAACAGGAGGGAAGAAAAGAAGTAAACTGTTAAACTACGTTGTGTTTCTAGTGCCGCACACAGAGGGAGGGAAGGAATATGAGCAACAAACTGTCTTTTTTCTTTTTCAAAGTCTCTTCAGCAACATGTCTGAGCTGTGTGTTAGAGAGAGGGGCGGGGCACACAGACGCATTTGAGGCTGATAACTTACCAGGACGCAAAGTCTGACAGGTAAGGAGGGTTAAACTCGGACCCCACAGAGTGAAGTGGAGGCCAAAAAACTGAAAACGAAAAACAACCATTTTGCTACTCAAGCCAGCAGAGAGCAAGCACGGCTGAGACGGCGCCATCAGCGAACAGCAGGAAAGGTCTTCAGAGACCAAACGGGCCCAAGTGTCCGAGCTCTTTCCAGGCAGCACAGCCATCTTCTAAAAAGGTCAACGACTCCTTCGTCAGCAACCTCTCGCAGTCACTTCCAATGATATGGACCCCCCCACCTCTCCACATATACAACCCTTCAAAAGTGTTAGACACGCACTAAAACAACAATGAAAGCTGAAAATATATGTGAACTTTCATGCACTGGGGAAAAAGTCTTGAATGTGAAACAAACGAGGGGAAAAGAACAAAAACAGGTCCTTCAGGAAGAAGGCTGGGCTCAAGTCCATTCTTTTTTTTTTTTAAAGCCTATAGATCCCAGTGTTCAAAGTCAAACTGAGTCCTTTTCATATTCTCTGGATCTTGTCAGCAACAACCACGGGGTTCTCTTTGCGAATCCTGTCAGCAGCTTCGGCTCTGTAGTCATACGGACAGTTATGCTTATCTGAGTAACGGTGAAGTCCACAGAACAGATTCCCACAGCGGCAGTCGAAACCTGAAAGGCCACAGCAGAGGACAGGCCGCGTCATGTCAGTAAAGTGCTCACAAATGCGAAACATCCCCGACTGCAAACATCCTGGCACACATGATGTTAACCTTAAAAACTCATCTTTTAAAATGACTGACTAGAGACAGATCTCAATATTCTGTAGTCACAAGACGTTGGACTTGAGTGATGCCTTTTGCAGGATCCTTCATGCAAGAAGCTTCTGTAAAGATGTTTTTAAGGACCTTAAACTGTCTGATAAAGGTCCTTTATCAGACAGTTTGACAGTGAAGAGATAGACAGGAAACAGCAGGAGAGAGGTGTGTTAACAAGGCGCTACGTGAAATCAATAAACTTCTCAACTCATTATCTGTTACTCTCCTTTTTGGCTCTTTGCTGCCAAATGTGTTACTTTTACATTTGCTGCAGAAGGGTGTGATGGATCACTAAAGTTCTTCTTCTTTTAAAATCAGCCATTGTGAAAAAAGTAAAAGTTTATCCGCTGCTCGTATTCTGCGTGACAAAATGGCAGATAAGCATAGCTTGCTGTGCTCTGGTTTGACCGAATTGTGTTTAAAGCCAGAAACGCAGCTGCTATCGTAAATAACTAAACTACAATATTTAAACTAAAAGAACTAAATGAACTTGACCCAGAAGAAAAAGAACAAACCCGGGACTAGTGGAGACATTAAGTCGGTTGTTGGTGTCACTTCTTACCTGTAAGGCCGACCTTTTTGCGGCACATAAAGCAGCGATTCTTCTTGGGTTTTTGGGGCTCTGGGGCTTTGGACTGCTCAGCGGAGGGATGAGAGGCGGAGGATGTGGGCTGAGTCAAAACTGGAGATGCATAAGAAAAACACTTAACTCAGTAAAGTACCCGACATAGAATTGTAAAAAGAGTAATAATTTCTCTGACTAAAACCCCCCTCATGTATGTAATCGGGAGAGGATAAATTATTAGATGTAGACATGCGCAATTTTATATTGCAATGTTAATATACAGTATGTTGTCATGGTACATTTTGTTGAGTTTAAATTTAAAATAACCAGATATATCAGTTTATGGCCGACACGTCAAGGTACTACCATTTACATCCAACCCACCTGGGTCTGTGAGCTCTACTTTGCTCCCCGATGCTCCTTTCTCCTCACAGGAGAGACTCATCTCAGTCATCTGCTGCGTTACAGACATGGCAGTTGAAACCCCACTGCAACAGATAAACAGGACAAAATGAGTAAAAATAATTACATAACCATATTTACCATGTATTCAACTGTCTTTATCGGCTGAAGAGACACTCATGAGATCCTACTACGGATGTATTGTTTCAGGTTTAATGGTGCCTTTAACTCAACATGAGTTTGTTGACAAATTCTGAGTTTTTTTTCCAGATTTTTAAAAAATATTTACATCCAGGTTTAGAATTAAGTAGAGCTCTGTTGCACAATTAAAAACTAATCTCTGTTTAGACTTAAACCTGAATTTAATAGAATGTAATCAATATGGAGATGTTTGCTCTGTATTGCTTAACAACACTTTGCCTTGTTTGCTAGCCATCTTAAATTTGATCTTCCTTAATATTAAAAGTTTTCAAGTTTGGTGCAAAATGATTTTAAGTTGAAGACTTTTATTAAAAATGAATTCTTGTTTGTTGCTCTACTCTAGGGGATCCCTCACCTGAAAGCCTCGGTGGCTGCAGCAGAGGCAGAGGCCTCAGCTGCCTCCTCTGCAGCAGCGACTGCAGCAGCTGCAGCGTTATTCAAGGTGGCCTCTAACCTCTGGATGGCAGAAGCCTCGGCTGTGGGGCCACCGCTGCCGCCTGAGGGAGAATTCACCAAATGTTACAGTCGGACACGTTATGGTCGGGCACACGTTACATTACGGCCGGACACGTTACGGCCGGGCACAGAGGCTGGGAGTTTTATCCAACGTCCAAAAAAAACAAATCGTGTGATGGACACAGCAGGTCTTACCAAGAGCACTCAAAGTATTGACTCCTCCATTGTTCTGCCTTGACAGCTGCTCCTTATGGCACACAGAGCACATGCCATTAGTCCTAGGGTTGCCATAGAAACCACACCCATTAGCACAGGGCATAGGAACCGGGCTCTGATTGGTCTCCTGGGCCATGATGAGGTCTGCCGCCGGGTGTACCTGAGGATACAAACAAAGACACACGCTGGAGTGATACAGGGGAAAGGACCGGTCGTAAGAAATTATAAATAGACCCCCAGAAGAAGAAGAAGACATTTTCAGTGCGATGCTTCATAATAATCTGATAAAGTTAGACTCTTGGAGTCTGGAATGCAGAGTACCGTGATATCGGGATTTAACTAAACTCAGCTGCATTATAGCCAACAATCACAACAAGAAGATCAATACACAACTACAGAGAAGGGCAATGTTCATATTTGATTTTGTCGTTTGTATGCAGATTTAATTGAACAAACAAATATCTATAATTCACAGGTCAGAACAGTCTATTTTCACCCCTGGCTGCAGTCTTCCTGACAGTCAACTCCACTTAACACAAGCATTAAAACACTACGCATCACCTGGTAGCTATTTGATTTAATGTATTTAATACAACATCAAATTGTGATTTGCATACGGTCACCAGACAGTCACTGATCACGACTGAGAAAAGCTCCTTTCCCAAATAATCTGTTAATAAGCTTTTTGTGGAGCTTTAACTCACACCTCACAGTGACTGAGAAAGCTCTGGTGCCATCACATGACCTAATTGTCACAGGATAGCTGTTTCGGGGAGAGATCACAACATATCCTGTTATCCTTATAAGATGTTCTTTTGCATTGTATGCAAATATCTTCTTGATCTTCACTGATGAAGACTGAGATGTGGTTTGTAACCCTGGATAAGATAGTAGGGGGATATGATCATTTTGTCACACCAATTTTAGAATACTTTAATTGGGCAAAACTCTTGTTTGGACAACATTCAACTTTTGAACAAAGGTAATACATAAAACATAATTATATTAGTCAAAGTCTTGGAGAAGACTTAATAATTACTGGTAAAACATGGGGTAACCAAAAAGGAAATTAATCACATCACGGTTGATTGCATCAGTCCTCCTCTGTCTAAAACTGTCGACCCTTGACCCCTGCAATCTGCACTTTCACCGGTGTCTGTGTGCCTGCAGGCAGTGCTCCTGGCAGCTCCAGGCTCACATGGACCTGTGTATGGAGGATTTTCTTTGTCACAGAAGTGCAATGTGACATCGTGATCTCCGAGGTACACACTCTCGAGTTACTTTAATACTGAGACCACATCTAATTATAGACAATACCTAGAATCCTGTAAACAGAGCTGCTATCGTTAAAAATGTGAAGGTTTTCCCATTAAAAATTTACTATCAACTCTAACACATGGAGGAAACGTATTATAAAGACAGAGTCTGCCCAATCCTACACAGTTAAGACAGTGTTGGGCAGGAGACTCGTGGAAACAGATTCTAACATGGCTACAAGACCCAACACCTGTAGATCACACAATAAGACGAGCACGTTAAGACAAAAGCAAAATTCGCTCACTGTCCCCCCAACATGTAGTTAGTGGTTCTGGGATCATGCTAACGTGAAACTCGTCCGAGGCTCAAAAACAACATCTCTACTTAGAAGTGCTCAACCGGGGTGTTATAAGTAATCAATACCAGTTATGTCGGCTGCTTCCTGACAAACACCGGGCCACAGCCGGGTTACTTCGTCAAATCCACTGAGTCATGCTAGCAAGCTAATGGCTGCTGGTGCTACAGCCTTTCTTTTAAAAAAAAAAAAAAAAAAAAAAAAAAAAAAGATGCTACATGGCACCTGGCAGGTTGAACATCGTAACCTCTGAGTGTAGTTTTAAAAAAGTTCCAAGTTTAAACACAGATAACCAAAGCGTAATTAAGCTCTAGATGATTTAGTTCAATTGCTCGTGAGCTAACTAGAGTTAGCAACAACAACCGTGTGAGCAGATTCTCGTGATCTTGCTAATGTTAGCATGCTAGGTGGTTAGCTATGAGTTAGCACTGCTGTTGCCTTCGCTTTGTCTGTTCTTTGTTTTTGTTCCGACTAAAGATGAACTAATTATATTGACAACAACTTATAACAAAGTCACTTTACGAGTATTACCGTGTGGAATACGACCATGAATCAAATATGTTAAGAAGGTAGCTACAACAAATAATCGTAAAACCTTCATGTAGCCAACCAGATTAACGTTAGCATCAAGTAGAGTCTGTATGTTTAGTTAGTGGACAGAATGTTGTTGAAGAGCAAAGACAGTCATGATTATGCTGTGATTGTAGTTGTTTAGTGGCTAACTTAGCTGGTTTACGATGTTTTAGTCACGTTTCACTTATATTTAATATTCAAACTTCGCAGCTCGATAAAAAAAGTTTTCATCGACACGTGTTAACCAAAACGATTTATTTAATCCTAGTTATAACGAAGTTACATTTACATTAACGTCTATTAACGTCAGCTAAAACGTGACTTTAACATTGTTAATGTTTTACTGTTCACTACAGAAACTTCCCAAACAACCACGTATGCTAGCTGACTAGTTTCACTAACGATAGTTAACTTACCGTGTGTCTGAGAAACGATGTTTTTCCTCTAAACTTTTTGACAGACGGAATGACTACGTGTATCTTGGGGCTGACTAACTAGGGCCGTCTAGGTACGTCGTTGTTTGTGACCTTCTGTTCAGTCCTCTCACTAAACCGTAGACTCCGCTCAGCCTGGGCGCTCTGGTGGCTAACTTCGCTGCCGTCCTCTGTCGCTGATTTGTGGGGGCATCTGTTTTGTTTTACGTGGTGCGTTTGTGTCCTTTCTTTTTCCGGTAGACGTCACGGAAATTGTGATCCTCCGATTGGAAGGCAGGAGTGTTGAGTATAGTCACGAAAGATTTCAGGCCATTAAAAAACAGTAGACCTACTTCATTTACCAAGTTCTTCGTAGCTTCGACCTCAGTGTTGCTTATCAATGAATCTTCATGTAATCAGAAAGTGTAACGTGTATCATCGTGTAACGTTAGATCAAGAAAACAAGTCTGAGAGGATGTGTTGCCTTCAAATGCTCCTCGTAAACTCTAGCTCCACCAAGAGACTTCTGTACTGTCACTGTTGAGCTGTGATTACTAGTTTGCTACTCACCTTGACGCGTTGCCTTTATCTCCCCTTGAACAGTTCAGGGTATAAGACCATCATACATGGATGGAATACTGAACAGGTCTAGGATCAGGGGCAAAGGGGTCAGGGGGCACCAGAACAAAAGTCTCCAAAAGTGGGGATGTCCTAAATCCGGGTCAGTTTGAAACCTGATAATTTAATACTTAGTGGCCTGTCTGCTGATACCATGTTTGCTCTGTTCATTATTTTTTTAATTACATTAATCACAATTTCCTTGTGCCTCTATACAAATACAACACAAACAATGGTAAAAAAACGCCATAAAACTAAATGACAAGCACCAGCTCATTCATGACTACATGACTGATTCCTCTTTTAAAGAGGTCTGTGGGTAAAGAGCTCCACATATTGATCCCCGAACACACACTATAACTGCATTCTTCAATTGATATGTTGATTGATGTGTTTGACAGTAGAATAGCTGTTTTGGGAAAATGTGGGGTGATCTAGAAAGACATATTTTAGTCAGGAACTCATTTAAAATAGAATTACTGTTACTATTACTGGGCATTGAATCATTGTATATGTGTCTTTGTGTTTGGGGTTGGGGGGAGGGATAAGTAATCGAAAAAATAATTACAAAGATGATTACAAAGCCATCATGCGAGTAATCTGGGGTTTATCGGAATGCGTAAATGCACAAGTAAATGCATTCACTTCCGGACTTTGTTCTTTCTGTTTGCCACACAAGCAAAAATGGGAAATATGAACGTGTTCACTAAATATTTTGTTGATGTAAAGAAATTAAAACGTACGTCAAATTTAGAAAAAATAATAATAAGCAGGATTTAGCCGGAAAAGGAAACGAGCAAATCTAAATCACGTGACCACTGGTTGGCTGGGGAACGCATTTGATACAGCTGCGCTCAGCCAATCAATGGCTCGGGGAATTCAGGTCACAGCCAATCAGCTTGTAGTAAGCGAGGATTTAAACCAAGACTGCAAACCTAGAAACTACATCGCATTATTCTCCATTACGAGTGGCCACCAGTCTGTTGAAGCAACCCGCATTTCGAAATGGCTCTTCGAGTGACCAGAGTACGTATTTTAAACGGTTTTCTTTATATTTATCCTCTTGTGTATTATGACTGGAAAGGTGTTCAGAAGAAACCTGTCTTTATAGAATTTGCATTCATTAGACTCAAAGTTTAAATATCCTCGTGCCTCGCTGTCGGGTCTGCTCTCGTGCAACCGTTCTATTATAGGAATTTGACTGAAGACTATGCAATACATTATAAATCAGTAGCATGCAATTCCACTCAAACGTTAAATTATTTATCTTTCTGCAGAACCGCTTGGCTTCTACCAGGACTGACCTCGGTGGGAAGGCCTGCTCGGCCGCCGGGCCCACAATGAAGCCTCGCGCTGCGCTTGGAGAAATCGGAAACATCGCAGTTAACAAAGAAGTACAGAAAAAGGTAAATATGTGGCTTAATTATGAAATCTCGTGTGAGTAAACTGTTTTACCTCTGAAAGATGGATGAATTAAATAATTGTGCTTATTATCTGAAGGGCATTTCGTAGCACTACAATGCAAAAGCACCAACCATAGCCATGCATTTACAAGTCTTACTAACGTTAGCTTTGTGGGCTAATTAACTTAATGCACTGACTTAAAGGCGATCTGTGTGTCTTGTGGGATTTTCATGTCTGCATGTTTAAAGCCTTATATACTGAATTAATAACTGCCCATAGAATACCTAAATGTGTGGGTCGTGCTTGGAAATGCGCCAGGAACGTTACCACCTCATGCAACCACTTGCATTTGTTTAAGAAGGGGTGTATTTATTGATTTCTATATGTTACTTTCTGAAAGAGTAGGAAATTGCTCGTTTAGGCTACATGTTCAAAGACCTCATAGTTGTGTATTTGCTGACTGTTTTGTCAGGCCGGCACTAAAAAACCTAGGCTGTTTTACTGTCTGCGTTGGTAAGTCTCCATATTGAAGTGTCTTTTGTTTTTAAGGAAAATGCCTTAACACTAGAAGACAATTTCAGCTTTAACTTCAGACTTGTCAATCTTTTTCAATTTAGAATGTCAAGACAGAGGCCACTAAGAAGACCAAAGCAGTTGCGACCAAAAAAGCAGTTGTCGAACAACCAAAACCAGAAATTGTTGTTCCTGCTGAGCCTGAGCCCGAGGTGCGGGTGAGTTATATGCTAGCTATCTGGCCATCAAGACCCTAATGACTGCTGGGTGTGTTGCTTCAGTTTGTTTGAACTCTTGTTGGGATTTCTATAGGTCCAGGTTCTCCCTGAGCCAGCATCCCCCACGCCAATGGAGACCTCTGGCTGTGCGCCTGCTGACCTCTGCCAAGCGTTTTCTGATGTCATGCTTCACGCCGCTGTCCGGGATGTGGATGCAGATGACTACGACAACCCCATGCTCTGCAGCGAATATGTGAAAGACATCTACAAGTACCTCAGACAGCTTGAGGTAAGCAAAAACATTTTTTCCAGAAGTTATCTCTTTTTTTTTTTCTTTTTTTTTTTTTTTTTTTCCCCTCTTTAACCAGTTTCCTGTGTCCTCAGATTGAGCAGACCGTCAGACTCTCTTACCTGCAGGGTCAGGAGGTGACTGGCAACATGCGGGCCATTCTCATTGACTGGCTAGTGCAAGTGAGCTTGAAGTTCCGTCTGCTGCAGGAGACGATGTACATGACGGTGGGAGTCATTGACCGCTTTCTTCAGGTGAGGAACTGTATCAAACTTAAGCCCACCGGTGTTGCTTCTCTGCCTGAAACGCTGCTACATATAGCCTAAAAATCCTCACGTTCTACTGAAGTTGAACAAGCCGCCCTTGTTTCTAAACTCTGTGTGACTGCGCCTCACACAGGATCACCCAGTCCCCAAGAAGCAGCTGCAGCTGGTCGGCGTCACCGCCATGTTCCTTGCTTCGAAATACGAGGAGATGTATCCACCCGAGATCTCCGACTTTGCCTACGTGACAGACCAGGCCTACACCACCGCCCAGATCAGAGACATGGAGATGACTATTCTCCGGGTGCTCAAGTTCCAACTGGGCCGCCCTCTTCCCCTGCAGTTCCTAAGAAGGGCTTCAAAGATTCACGAAGTTTGTAGCTGCATCTTAAACTGGCAGTAAGACTGATTCAGCAACCGCTTTATCAGTCTACCATCCGCTGACATTCCTGTCTTGTCTCCTCCCCAGGTAACTGCTGAGCAACACACCCTGGCCAAATACCTCCTGGAGCTCACCATGGTTGATTACGAGATGGTTCACTTCCCACCTTCCATGGTTGCAAGTGCTTCTTTGGCCCTTACCCTCAAGATCTTAGATGCTGGCGACTGGGTGAGTTTCCTTATTCCAACTCTTACAGCTCAGAAAATATTGGCTGATATTTCATGAAAGCCAACAGACTTGCCAAGGCTACTTTGTTTAAGGAATTGTGACCAGTTATACAAAGTTGGGTGTTCGTCCATTATAAGTAACCCATCCTTTATTTATCTTGCTCTGAAGCTGTAATGCTCTTCAGAAGGTAAACCTGTCATGTTTCTCCTCAGGATGTGACACTACAGCACTACATGGACTACACAGCAGAGAGTTTGATTCCTGTGATGGCACACATTGCCAAGAATGTTGTGAAGGTGAACGATGGGCTGACCAAGCACATGGTAAGTGTTAATTTGAACAACATTAACTGTTCACTTGTTGGTTTGAACTGAATGGCCAATAAATATCTGAAGCGTAACTTCTAACTTTGCTTTCTTGCAGGCTATTAAAGGGAAGTACTCTACTTCGAAGCAGTTGAGGATTGCCACTATCTCACAGCTCAAGTCGTCAGTAGTGAAGGATCTTGCAAAGCAGCTCACCCAGTGAGGCGACCACGCATTTGGCACCATGTGCTGCTATGTACAGTTGTAACTAAAAGTTTTAATGTGTTTTGAAGGAGCTGCATGCCAAGGACCATGTCAGTGGTTTGCATGATAACCTACTGAATATCATGTGTACTTTTTACTGATCTTTTTTGAAAGCATGCTACAAGTTTGTAATTTTCAATCTGAAAGCTCGCCCTCAAGAGTGCACATGATGGCAGTTTAGTCTTGGGAAATGACTTGGGCTGTAGTGACCCTATGTCACCTTATTTACTCTACATGAGATTCAGTCGGCATCAAAGACTACTCCGCTGCAATATTTAACACCCTTCGTTAATGCACTACTTGCCATCTGAAGTCTCTGTATATCTTTGACTATATTTTATTGTCACCATATAATTTCACAAGGCCCCAAATTTATATCTCCGACAAGTAATTTTTATTGCTTAGAAGCGGCTGCAAATGTAAAACTTGAGGCATGCTTTAACATGGTCACCAATAAAGGGGCCAGTGGATGGGTGTGGCTTTTTTAATGGGATTTTATTGATCTGTGTAATATGTACAGCAATATTTTACTTTCTTGAATGTCTTGTTCTTAAAGCCTCTATTAAATGGTTCAAACCAGACTTATGCTCCCTTGTCACTAATGTTAATCACCACTAGAGGGAACGCTAACCTCAAAGTTGCGTCCCCTGTGAGCCTCCAGTTCTGCCTTGTGTCGGCTTGACGAGAGAAACTGATGATATGGTTCAGTTGTGTAAATCACAAGGGGAAATGTTCTCACTGAGCTACTTCATTGAAGGGCATCACTTATATATTTTTAATTCTTGTAACGAGATGAAAAGCGTTTTGCTGTGTCCACATTACAAACGTGTCTTTAGACCATGTTCTGTCGGTACAATACTGTTACATCAAAGGTTCTTTAGCTGCACCAATCTTTGTGAATGCCCTCATTTAATGCCGCTATTCCAGTCTAAGTATTGCTTTAACTCCTGCAGCGCTAAACTGAGGTCATTTTATTGCAGACCTAAAAAGTGTCGTCCAAAGCCACAGAGAAAAAACCCAGATGTTCATTTAGATAGTGTCTGACTTTTCTTTTTTTTTTTTTAGTACACCAAGAATATATATTTTTTTTTTTTAACTGCAGAAATGTCCGACTTGGTACATATTGGTTTCAATTGCGTTCAATGACAATACAGTATCTGCCTCAGAAATTCAGTATCTAGTGGGTTTCAATATTAAAGATCTCTGATACGGCAATGTCGCAAAGGTAACCATTTTGCCTGGTAATGATGGAAATCACAGGGATTGGAGCGCTCTACAGCCAGCATAATACCGGAGTTGAATGGAATTCAGCCATCCACTTTTTCTGTCTTTGTTAAAATGTTTTGTGAGCAGGCAGCTTTACGGTAACACTGGTGCTGCAGAATTTGTCATAAATACCATGACTTCTCTTTTATGGGATTTAATTCACCGATTTTGCAAATATATCCAGATTTACCAATCAAGGAAATGTACACAATTGCAAACCCCCTTCAGAATCTTTATTGCTTGTAAGACACGTAGGTCTCGTGAGGTACAGATGCAACTTCAGTTACATCACAAGTATTTAAATCTAATAGACAGAGCAGAGTGGGAGCTATTATCACTTCAACCCATTCACAGCTGAGACCGTGGGGGAACCAGGCCCCCCCTGTCCATCCTCCATCGCCAGGGGGACTTCAGGACAGCTTGACTGTACGAGACCACCTGCCATCCGCACCACACGAGTCACTGTGTACATCATCGGGATCAAAAGGCCGGCTGGATAACTGCTTGAATCCATCTGCTGCTTTATAGGCCGAGACCAGAAGTCATCTGTCGCTTAACGTTTTATTTTTAGGTAGAAAGGCAGCCGAACCATGCTTTGATAGTTATTAGTTATATATAATTGTTGGACAGAGCAATGTGCATCTGTTACCTGACATTTAGACGGTAATGCTGACACCTTAAGAGCTTTTATCCATTGAGCTCGGAGCCTTCTGTTTTTCACAGACACACAATTAGCCTCAGTTATCCTGGAAAGCCGGGCTTTTAAACCCACAGATCATACTGAGGATTCATACTTGGAGGCTGAGGTCATGACTGGACAGCCGTATCGGTTTACAAGACAGATTCCTCCTGTGCGGGGCTCCAAACCATACACTTGCAGCTGCCCGGAACACTTACTGGCCTTTTTGAGGAAGATTCAGCTGTGTGACATTTATCCTGATGGAAAACTGTGCAGTTCAAGATAACTCGGCAACACAGAAACACACTAGTAACCTTCCTGTTAAACGCTTAAAGGGTCATTTTATGCAAATCACAAAAAAACACATTTCATCACTCAACCCTATCTAACCGTGCAAATAGTTTTGGTTTTATGTGCAGGTTTAAAGGACAGCCTCTGAGTCCCTTCACAGTTTACATGTCTGCTTCAGAAAACACTTTCATTATGTGATGACAATGACCAACAAAGCAATCAGAGCTGATAGAGTCCATTTGGATGCACTCCAGTATTAGTCATACAAACATATACACAGACCAAAGACCCACTACAATCAATCTTGGAACCCATTGGCTGTGGGTCTGACGACGGATAAGCCTCTGGGGACAAGGGGCTATATTTCTGGGGTTCCGGTGTAGCCGCGGTTATGCCGGCCAAGGCTTCCTTCTCCATGCACTGCTCATTATTTACACTCCAATTAGCAACTTGAGATGCGAGACTGGAGTTGGAGTTGAGAGACGAAGTGTACGACCGGATTGTTTCTCAAGTGGCCTGTTTACAAGCTTATTTTAAACCAATAAAAGACGATAGTCGGCGGGTTTCCCAGATTGCATTTCGGCCAATGCGTTCCGCCTCTTTTGCTTTCCACGCGGACCGTTGCCTGCATTCAACCAAAGCCTGCAGATGTTGACATCTGTGGTTGAAAGTGAAATATTTCTACATGGATGGATTGGCACATAATTTTTTTGCACAGACATTCATGGGACCCAAATAAATGTCCTAATAACATTGGTGATCCCCTGAATTTAAAGCAGAGACATTGATATTCTTTTATTGTTTATTGAAATATTTTTCAAGGTGTATAGCTCGGCAGCCTGTTATTTATGATGGCGTAATCAGATTATGGCTGTTTCTGTAGCTTTCAGTCTTTTAATAAGCTTTTAACGAGGAGTTAACATACTGTGTATCAAGACTGAGCTGACAACGGCGTTCAGTCACCAGTCAGAGGAGCTCCACTGCTGAGAGGCTACTGCTTAGAAAGTAGTTCCAGTGAAATAACAAGGTTTTGTGCAATACATATAAAACTCTCTGCATTGCTAGATACCACATTTAATGATAGAATATGTTGGGTGACCCAACTACTTCAGTGCCTCAGTGTACAATCACAAAGACTTGATGACCTTAAAATATCTCAAGTGTTATTCAACAAACATTCTCCGACAACAATACGAGAACCTTCATGATTCATGCACATTCCAGTGTCCTCAAGCCCAAATGCTTCTTTCCTTTTCTATATTTATTCAAGCTCTCCCCATTAAATGAATTTGCCAGTCAGCACAGAGGTACAGAAAGAATGCAACGCTTGGCCTAAGACCGCTCAGCATTTCAGCAATACAGATCTCACCCACAAGCAGTTGGTCCAAGACCAGAGTCAAAAGTGTGGAGTTCCTTCCCAGTCTAAACATCGCCCAAGATGGCCAGCGATTTAACAAGTGCACCCTTCAACATGAGTCAATGCCCATTCTCGACTCCCGTCTACAAAGTCTGTGCGTCTCAATTCAATATGACAAAGTCAAACAAACAGCGGCTCCGCGGCAGCACTGTCAGGGTTTCTGCGGGGTGCTAATAGGTTGGCAGCTGGCAAGCAGAATGAGGCCTCTGGGCTGAAGAGTGGAGTGAAACACAAATAAACACGACGGCATTCGTTTTCACAATTTGTAGATTTTCAAATAAAAATCATGTGCTTTCTGAACTTTGCTGACCTTGGACACTCCGTGTCACGTGAAGGAAAGAAAGGCTCCCATTGTGGCCTGAACAGTGGAGCGTTTGAGCCAGGTGTGAATGGGATTTTGTCCAAACCACCTTAACCTCCCTGTGCACAGCTTCAGCGGCAAGCAGGAAGTCATCTTCTCCTCACGATCAAGGTTACACTTACGTGTTTGTTTAATAGACAGGAGAGTGCTGTGCTTCCTTTCTAAAGACACTGCATTGTGAGAGTATACTTTCTTTTTCATTCGCTGATGTCAAAGATTAACTGAACAGAGATCAGTGTGAAAGGGATAAAAAAGCATCTCAAGCCATAACCTTACCTTTTGTCTCGACCACAGTTTGTCAGGCTTGATAAAAAACTGTCTGACACTATCTTAACTAAAAGTGGAGCACCACAGGGAGCAGTTTTATCCCCCTTTTTATTCTCACTTCATACAGCTGACTATAGGACATGTGTCTTGTAACATCCAAAAGTTCTCAGATGACGCTGCCCTGGTTGGTCTACTTACCCGAGGCAATGACCTGGCCTATAAACGGGAGGTTGAATCTTTTGTCAGCTGGTGTGAACATTTTTTTTATCTAAATGTTGGAAACACCAAAGAGTTGGTTATTGATTTCAGAAGGAAGAACGAGGAGGTTTCCCCAGTGATAATTGCGGGTCAGCAAATAGAAATTGTCCAGTCATATAAACATCTTGGGGTCTATCTGGACGGTAAATTAAACTGGAAAAAGAACACTGATGCTGTATTTAAAAAGGCTCAGTCAAGACTTTCCTTCTTGAGGAAGCTTGGATCCTTTGATATCAGCAGAAAGCTTCTTCATGTTTTTTAACGAACACCTTTAGATGTGTTTTTTTTTCAATCATGTTTCATATGGCATTTACTGGTGTGATTTATTCTTTGTAATGTGTTTTTTGTCTGTTGTGCACCGTGGACTGTGTCTATTGTTGTCTGTATGAGTTTCTCCATTGGGGATTAATAAAGTTTTCTAATCTAATAAGTAATGTCGTTTTGTGTGTATTATGTGTACTGTCCTCTAAGTATAGAGCTGTAAATCATTTGAAAAACAATCTCACCTGAAGGTCTATTCAGTAGCTCTTTCATTCGTGTCACACAGTGTCACGCGGTCTTCATTTTCACCTTGAAAACAGCAGTTCTGGAACTTTCTATCTTATCACATGAGCTTCACATGGACGGGAGTATTCAGAGTACTCAGAATAACAATGAAAATGCAAACATTTACAATTCCAGGGGAACAGGCCCTTTTCACAGCAGCCGTTTTGACATGTCACTGCAGAGTAAACACTGGTGTTATTTATGACACTGATTATGGCCCTGTTCCATTTAAGTGGTATTGTGCATGAAGGCTCACTGGAATGGCTGTGGCACACTAAATAGAATGGTACCATAATACATTTTTTTTATTAATTACACCTGTGTTTACCCTGCTATGACATGTCAAAATGGCTGCTGTGAAAAGGGCCTATTGGGCATGCTGATGAAGATCATGTGATATGATTGACAGCTCCAGAACAGCTACTTAAATTAAAATAAGATCAACGTTGTAGTAAATCAAAATGATCCTCGTCTCAATTTATCATTTTTTATATTG